TTATAAAGTCACCAAATATTATAAATTTGTAAGAATATAAAATCATAGATTTGCCTCAAAATCCATAGGGCAAAAATGGATAGAGTTAGAATAGTCGCGCTCATAATCATCAAAAAGTGAGCTTTTCAACGCTCCTCTGATAAGGATTCTTTATGATTTTTTTTGTTTCCCTGCCCATGTGCCTCTCTAGAATGTTACAATACTTAATCGTTTGTCTCTATCATTCACAGATGTATTTTAACTACTAAACAGTTTATCCGAGTGTCACTCGGGCAGTGTGTTTGTTTCCGGAACGTACTGCCCTATCCCAAGAGTTTCCCGGTCAGGTGTCATTTCAACCAGTCATCATTTTTTCACGAGACAACACCTCTATTTGTTTTATATTGACTATTATTATATTGACTAAATTTGTTCCTTTCTTATTTAGAATATTGTATTTGCCTTTGATGTTTGTTTCTAGCAAAATCTCATAATAAGTTCTGGTTCTTTTCTCTTACTAATTCATGTTCATTTTATTTGTGAAAAGTAACCTATAATTTTGTGCTACAATCTATAAAAACTCTTCTCATGAGTACATTAGATACAAATTTTATACTTCTCCAGAACTCAATGGTACTCTTTTATAATATAAAATGGAGATCTTTGGGACACTGAAACTGAACAGAAAGGAAGTGCTGAAAGATCTCAAAAAGAAAAAGCTGAAAAAGGGAGAAATGTTAGCATAACAGAGAGCAAAAGTTTGTGTTATGAAAAGGGAAGACAAAAAAGACATCTCCTTATTGTCAGCTATTCCTAATATAGAAATGATAGAACTTGAAAGAAGAACTGGACTAAAAAAATTCCAATAGTGGCCAACGGTTATAATAATTCTGTGGGTGGCATTGACAGAATTGATTAACATCTAACAAGCCACCCTGTAATCAAAAAGTGAGGAAAAAATATGATTAGCAAACATTTACACACCTTCTGGGCCAAACAATATGGAACTTGTTTGTTCTTTATTCAAAACAAGGGGGTTCAAAAAATCATTTACAATTTAGATTAAGTCTAATAGACCAAATAATTGAAAAATACAGAATACCAAAATGCCAACCAGGATGGCCATCATGGACACCTTCACCATTACGTTTAGTGGGCAGACATTTTATTGAAATTCCACCTCTCACAGAAAAAAAAGGAAAGGCTAACAACAGTGTCTGTGTTGTTCAAAACAAGATGATAATGCAAAAGAATTAGGAACGAGACTAGATATTACTGCCTGGATTGTAACGTTTCAGTGTGTATTGAATGTTTTAAGGTATACCATACACAGAAAAATTATTTAATACATTTGATGAAATTATCATTTTTATATTTCCTGCTATATTATTGTATAAAAGTTAACAAAAAATATAGAATTTTTAGTAAATGTTGTATTTAAATAATTGGGCTCGTACATGGTTAAGTACTTAATTGTTAAATGTTTGACATAATCAAGATAAAAAAGTAACAATAGCCAGAGATTTGGCTCAGTGGTTTTACCGCCTGCCTCACAAGCACAAGGGCCCCAGTTTGATCCCTGGAACAACAACAACAACAACAACAACAACAACAAAAGTAACAACAGAGATTGGATAATATGATTATCGAGTACTGTGTAACCAAACACACTCTCATGGAACCTGAACTCTCAAATAAGTAAATGTACATTCTTCTCAGAAGCATTTGAAATATTTATGAAAACTCAGCATGTACTCAGTCATACTCTCTGAGCACAATACAATTAAATTAGAAAGAAGCAACAGCAAAATAATAAAATTTTATGCACTACTAAATGTAAAACATACTTCTAAGTAACTGAAAGAAAAAAATGAAGATTAGGAGACAGAATAGAATGGTAATGAAAATATTAACATTGCAAAGTTGTGGTAAACAGTTAAAGACTGCCTAAAAGCAAAACTATAGGTTTACATGCATATATAAGCAAAAGAATAAAAATTGATGACCTAAATTAAAGAATTAGAAAAATACCAAAAAATAAACACAAAGAATTAATGTAAAGAAGGAAATAATGACAAGAACAGGTATTATTGAAATAGAAACCAGGATCAAAATGTCAAAGCCATTTCTGGCAACAGTGATTACAAAAGTAAAAGATAATACTAAAAATAAAAAATGATGCATCAGAAAATTTTAAAAACAAAAATATTAAGAAATACTTGATACTAGTATATTTTAAAACAAATAAAATGAACAACTTTCTAGAAAAAATAGAACTTATCCAAATTGACTCATGGAAAAAACAGAAAATCTGAACAGATCTTTAATCTCCAAACATTAAATCACTTGTTGAAAGCTTAGTTTACAAACAAAACAAAACCTTCCAGACCAGATTATCTTGCTGGTGATTTCCACCAAACATTCACTTGACAGTTAGTCCTTATTTTCTACCCAATATTCAGTCAAAAAGATTTACTATCACATCAATTTATGAAGGTAACAGAAGCTGGTATTAATACCAGACAGAGAGAGTATCCCCCAAAAGAAGCTTTTATGGGCCAGTTGCTATTATGAACATTGACCAACAACAACAAAAACCATCCTAAGCTTAAACCAGGAATGCATAATCAGTAACATTACATCACAACTAGCTTGAATCCCAGTGGATCAAGGATGCTTTCATGTTAGAAAGTCTATCAGTGTACTTCACCCCATGAACAGATTAAAGAATAAAGATCAGTCTTTTAGTCGCAGGTGTCGATCAAACTCAACACCCGTTCATGATTTGAAAAATGAAACCAGAAACATTAGTAACCAGGATCACACAGAAGCTTCTTCGCCTGGTACCAGCTATGTGTTTAAAAGTATTCAACCATAAAATTTTTAAAAATAATTCTTCTTAAAGTTGTAAACAGACTGATACCATGGGTATTCAGTGTTGCACTGGGGAACCTAGACAACACAGACATAATGTAAATGAATCAAGATTTCAAAGGAAAGAAAATGTCAAATGTGCTGTAAGGACATCTCCATGAGCTCACCGAGAAGGGGGTGAAGAGGTGAATGCCTTTTCAGAGCCCTAGGATTCCAGAATATTTAGTTTTCTTATGTTACTCTTTATTAAATCTACAGTTGTATTTCATCCCGAAAAATGCTCCCCCACCATCTTACCTTCACATTGTACCACACCATTTGTAGAACCTGAACCTCAGGTTGACTGAGGATTCAATCTGGTTTGAGTTCCTGTTTGGCAGTCTCCTGTCTCAGCCTACACTGGGGCAAAACTTTAGAATCTCTTAATTCCCCGCTACTGTGATGAAACCATGTAAACAGTACCAGGTTTGGCTGTAAATGGCAGAATCATTACTACTTGAAGAAGCTTTTCTTATTCTTTATCATTTTCAGTGGGTTTTTTTTCTTGCAAGCTACTTTCAAATAATACTGAGTTTTCTAAAATTCCCACTTCAGCATTTGGTAGAGGAGAAGTATTTCATTTCCTTTCTCCTTGATTCTTTAAATGGCTTGCTTTTGTGGTTTTTATGAGTATTTTTGCATTATGAGTCATTCTGAGCAACTGACTGGGAATGTAGAAAGAAGTTGTCTTCCTTTGCTGTTTTGATTAACTGTGTGATTGACCTTGGGCCCATCGTTGAACCTAATCAAGTAATTTCATCCACTGCTAAATAAAGATAAAACACAGCCTGGAATCATGGGTTAAAATTACACCCCGCTACCTAATGACTCACTCTCTTAATAACTTTAAAAAATTAGGTTTTTCCTGCAACATGTTCGCTTGGGAAACAATTGCTTTTATTACTTTTGCCCACTTGTAGTCCACTGACACCTCTATCCCATACCTTATTACTGTTCCGCCTTGCTTATTTAACTTTTTTGATAGTTTTAATGGGCGATCATGGTATTCCATCATGATCAGCCAAAGATAAACTTTTGATATCGTACATGACCAAAAGAAAAGGGGATCTACCTCAAGAAATGAGTAGAAGAAGTCCTGATTCAAGTTCCAGCTCCCCCAGGTACTAGTACCGTGATCTCAAGAAAGTCAGTGAACTTCTCTGAGACTACACTTTCTCATTTATTAACTGGCAACCACAGCACTGCGCCTTTGTATTCATTTTTATTAGTGCATGTCTGCAGTACATATGCTCACACTCCTCTTGTGAGTTGGTGCATGCACATAACACATCCTAATCCCTTTTCCATCCCCTTTCCTCTCTTCCTTCCATCTCTTGATTCCCTCTCCCTTTGAGAAGGATCAATCTCCCTACTTCCTAGGAGCTCTCTTTTATTTTGCTCTTTGCTTTTATTCTGGGTTTCTCATAAGAGAAACCGCATGATAGTTAAGCTTGTGTGGTTTGTTTCACTTAACATTATGGTGTCAGGGGGCATCCATTTTTCTACAAATAATTCATTTTCTTTATTGCCGAGTAGTACTCCACTGTGTGCAAATACCACATGTTCTTTATCCATTCATAGGATGGACATATTGGCCCCATCCAAGACTTAGCTATTATCATTGTACCTTTTTAACCCTCGTGGGAAGTTGTTATAAAAATCAAAAGCAATTAATGTGGATGCTACTTTGAGAAACTTAAGTTTGCAGTATTTTTATTCACCTCAACTGAATATTTCCATTCTCTGAATTAAGTCATAACCTGAAGACAGATGCTGTTACAACTCTGGAAATCATTGTGTAACGTATACATGTGTAGGCAAGGATGAGGACACCTTTATGGCAATAAAATGTAGCTTTAAGAATAGGTGCAGCATGACTTCGGTGCCTGCTAGGAAACGAGGAAATTAATTAGATCTTTACTATTTTGCTTTAGTCTTTTGAAGCCATAACCCGTGGTGGAGGTTAAAAAATACAAAATAAATGAAAGCAAAACCGAAGAGCTGCCAAAATTCAGGATGTAAACAAGGAACTACTAGCAAGTCTGATCTCTGAGTCGTGTAGAAATTCAAAGAAAAAATATGCATACAGAGGTGCTTCAATTTCTTACCTTTGCTCTGTGTTAAAGAGTGCAAATATGTGCTTGCTAGACATGAAGCTCTTTTCCACATCCCGAACTTTGAGGTTGTCCAAGGGAAGCATGTATTTCTTTTCTTTTTCCTATTATAAGACAGAAAGAGAGGACTTTGAGATCTTGAAACATGCCAACCGCAATACATCACCAGAGTTGGCTAACACTGGATTATACTGTCTTGATACCAACAAACACTGTTTTGCTACCAGGCATAAAAATTACCTTATATAGGAGACTCCAGTGATTCTCAATACAAGAGCTGGAAACATGGGGGTGGGAGAGGGAAATATAGAAGAAGGGCTCAGAGATGGAGAAAACACACGGTCCTCTCTCCTTTCTCCCTCGTGTAGGTCCCCTCAGATGTTTTTAAATGTTAGTTTGATATTAAGAATTTAGCCATCTGTTAATATTTAACAAAAATGTTCTGGTTCTAATTCAATGAGAAATGCCAGATGGATTGCATTTCGTGTTTTATTTGCAGCCTAAGCGGTTTTGATAGCCAGTGTTGGCAGGGGAATGGAGGCACAAGGACCCCAGTATAAAACACCCCCCACGGACTGTGATAAAGCACAGAAAATACTGCCCTGTTTGGGTCAAGAATATAGGTCTAGAAAAATTGTCACTCCATACATTTCATAGCATTATTCAGCTCTTCAGGGGGAAAAGAGTCCACTAGAAGCACACCAGTATTAACTAGAACAAGTTCTCTCTTAGAACTAACAATTCTTCAGGATGAATATGGATGTGGGGGAGGTAAGGTCTGCAACTGGGACTAAAGCAGCATTAGTAAAACACATTGAATGCCACAGGATCACTGGAAACTTTTACTTTTAGGAACTGGCCCAGGGGCAATATCATCATATGTATCATTACCTACCAACCAGTATAACAGGAGCAAGCCAAAGACTCTGCTAACAAACCCAGAAAACAACTACTAACGGGGGCATGTTAGTGAGGCACTTATGAAACAGTGGTCCTCTGGATGGGAAAGAGCAGGGTCAGAGGAGAGCATGGGGAACAACTATTAATGCCTGTGGGAAGCATGTGCACTACACAAATATGTCTAACATGAGCTTTGTTGATCCCAGAGCACACAGACCACCTCTCTGAGAATTTGTTGCTAAGGCTCGGTAGCATGGAACCGAACTCCTCTGTGCTTCCAAGCCAGCTGTGTGGGTACTTGTTGTACTGCAGGGACTGTCACTGGCCTGGTGATTTCTCAGTCCTGAGTTAGTCAGGGAAAAGTCAGGCAGAGCACACTGGGTTAGCAAAAAGGTGTCATTCTATGAAAATAAGGCAGAGTAAAACAGATTACTTCCTCCCAGCTGGAGAAAAGTGATGGGAGAACAAAATGGCTGTGCTGGCAGTCTTAAGAAAAGGAACAGAACAAGCACAGGGAAAACACGAGAAGGCAAAACACAGTAAGAAGATTCCAATGTTTCCTGTCAAATGTTAATAATTTACTCATAAGTGCATGCTAACTAGCAAATATGTAATTCAAGTAAATGAAGTAACACAGTTAAATTCAACTTACTCAAAAACATTTACTCGTCGATCTATTTTAGGACAGAATTCTAAGAGGCCAGATTCTAGATTGAATGAAAACCTATCCAATACATAATCAAATGAAAATGCTCGAGACCCAGGGAATATTTTTTATTGGAAGCTTTTCAATGCCCTAAATTTAAGCAGCTGGGTTTTCTTCATGCACCATCCTATTCAACCTTTTGAAAGGATGGATTTGCCTTTTAATGGGAAATCTGCATTTCATTGTAAAGATGGAACACAATGTTCTTGGCTTATTTTCTATAGAAGTAGCCTTAATTTTGTACTGCATTCTTCAGCACATACTGAAGACTGAAAAATCCAGCAAGTTTATGTCAGATATTACACCCGGGAGGGAAACGTACATATGCAGACAGGGGAACATGAAAAATACAGTGTTCATTTCCCGGGTACTCAATGCCACTTATCCAAGGTTTTCGAGGACACATTGCTAAATTATTTCATAATCCCAAATGTTTATGACTGACCAAGAAAGGAGAAAAGGTATAATTACAGAAGTCAAAGAATTAAAATGAAGCAGTAGCAACTCCAAGCAATGAAACGATGTATCGTGGAGGTTTTTAAAAACCATGGTGGTTTTGAAAAAGAATGATGTGCTAAAAAATACTTGAATCTGAAATAGCTAAAATTTAACATGGACCAGAAAGGAGGAAGTACATAGAGAATTACAATTTCCAAAATCCAAGGAGTCAGCATTAGCTTTATTAAGAAATTTACTCAATAATCTTTGTTAGTCTTCTAAATAGTGTAATGTAAGAATGTGCTGTGCAGTATGGCAGTTACCAGCCACACACAGCTACTGGGTGCCTAAAATGTAGCTAAGGGGGGGTGGGTGCATATAAAATATGCACTAGATTTCAAAGATTTAGTATGAAAAACTGAATGTAAGCCATTTCTGTGATACTTTTCATATTGATTATATATTGACATTATAGTATTTTGAATGTTTTAGGGTAAAAAGTACTGTTAAACATTATTTTAAATTGTATTTTTATTCTTTTGAAGGAGGCTCCTATTCAATGTCAAATGATGTTACGGCTTATGTTAAATTTCTCTTGATGGCACTGAGCCACATGCACTTATAATCTCTTTTCTTCTTCTCATCTGTCCAAACCATTTTCCCTTCTGCCTTTCCTGTTTGTTATTGGAGTACCCTTTATTCTTTCAGTCACTCAGCTGGAAACCTCACCATTTCTGATGTATTGTCTTTCTTCGCCTTCTTTATTCCATCAGGATTATGTTGTGCTATGTCTGAAGCTCTTTCATATCTCTCCTTGTTTAATACACTCCCATCTCATTATTCCTGGTCCATGGCACCTCACAAGCATGTCACCATAAATGGACTCCTATTTAAGTCTCTTTCCTTCTGATTTCTCTAAGCTCACCAGGGAAGGAAATTTTAAAACACAATTCTGTCAAATCCATTACAGTCTTCAAAACTTTCAGCAGCTTCCCATTTTTCAAGGAAGAAAATCTACCAAAACAGTTAATGTGACATTTAAAAACACAAATTAGTCCAACTGTCATTTGTCAATATCTTCCTTACTCTTTCATAAGAAGTCTCCATTTCTACCAAATTCACCTTGGCCAACATTCTTTACCCAACCTGAGTTACCCCTTCAACTCCCCCAATCACAACAAAGTTTTCTGGAGTCCAGAGAAAGCTCTACTTTCTGTACAAAAAGTTTTCCTTAGCTTATAACTCTTTGTCTATCTCTCTGTCATCACCCTCATCTCTCTTCTTTCAATTTATACAATAGGCATTACTTATTTTATCCATTTTAAATTAGTTTATCTTATTTGATATTGCCTCATTTTATAAATGCATTTACACTCTAAACTTCATATGAAAGTGACTCAGTCAGAACTCAGAATACTCAGTCAATTCCATTATTCAAGAAGGTTATACATACAAAGAAAAAAACAGAAAATATTTTTGCAGTAAACAATAAAAAAGGATATATTTAAACATCTGACTAGATACTTTGGAGGAAGTATATATAAAATTTTACAGAAATATTTTTATGTGGAGATTTAAAAAAGAGCATCTGTGTATATTCTGAGCCTCAGAGACTACTGTCATGGATTTGGTGCCAGCCTTTTCTTCACAATTAAACATAGCACCTCTTCTGTGCTCAACTCAGGGGGATTGCCAGATTACTTGTGTGGGAGGCAGTGAGGACCACAGAGATTTTGTTCAAAGAGAAAGGGAACATAAAAGACCTAGTATTTTTTCTTTGCAGTAATTTGGCAAGAAGAAATAGGAGAAATAAAACAGGTAAACAAACAATGTGTGAGAGTGGCCTGAGATAGGTGAGATCAAAATTATGGTGAATGCTTAAATTTTTAAAAGTATTTATTACAGTAAAAGAAGCCTTGCATTTTTTCGTACATTTACTTGATGCTTTTATTTCTTTGTCTGAGAAATGTCTGTTCATTTCATATGCCCATTTTTAAATCAAATCTTTATATTTGGGAGGGCTGATTATTTTGAGTTCTTTATATATTTTAGATAATAGTCCTTTGAATAGCAGCTGGTAAAAATTTTTTCCCACATTGTAGGTTGTCTTTTAGTCCTGCTGATGGTTTCTTTTGCAGTGCAGAAGCTTTTTAATGAGATCCCAGTTGTTGATTCTTTCTGCTAGTTCCCATGCTACTGAGTATTTGTTCATAAAGTCTTTTCCTATGCCAATGTCTTCCAGAGTTCTGCCTAACTTATCTTCCAGCAATTTTAGTGACTCTTTTTTAGTATTTAGATCTTTAATCCACTTGGATTTTAGTTTAGTGCATGGTGAAAGATAAGGGTCTCATTTAATCTTTGGCAGGTTGAGGTACAGTTTTTCCAACACCCTTTATTAAAGAGGCTATCTTTCCTCCAGTGAGAATGGTTGGCTCCTTTATCAAAGATGAGGTAGCTGAGTTCCACATCACTGGTCATTCGAGAGATGCAGATAAAAACAACACTGAGATTCCACCTTACTCCACAAAGAATGGCTACTATCAAGATATCAACCAATAACAAATGTTGGTGGGGTTGTGGGAAAGGAACCTTCTCCATTGTTGGTGGGAGTGCAGACTGGTGCAACCACTATGGAAATCAATATGGAGATACCTCAAAGAACTAGGATTAGAGGTTCCACTTGATCCAGCCATCCCTCTGCTGGGTATCTTTCCAAAAGAATTAAAAGAATCATATCACAGTGATATATGAGCACCTGTGTTTATAGTGGCACAGTTTGTAATGGCTAAAACTTGGAAACAGCCTATTTGCCCATCAGTTTGAGGATGGAAAAAAGATGTGGTTTTTCTATAAAATGGAATACTATTCAGCCATAAAGAATGAGAAATTAGATTCATTCATAGGAAAACGGATACATTTTTAATAAGTCATACATGTGTAAATATTAAATAGTTTCTCTGGTGTGAAAAACTATAATGGTACATGAGATCCCCATGGCATAATTGACAATGTGAAATAGGAAGAAAAGGGCTAAAGGTATAGAGAAAGTGGGAGGGGTAG